TGAGAAATCTTTTGTCACGTGGGAGCGCTGTTTACGAATCGTGAACATCAGGTGGAAACATTATTTGAATACATTTTAAAATTGAGCGTACTAACGATAAAGACTGTAAAGTTTTGGTATAGTTTGAGTCCAGGAATTCATATAAAAATAGATATATTTGATGAAATTTGAAGGCTAGTGTCTGGGATCTGCCTTGGGAGCTGTCATTGTGTCATTCTGTCATTGTGCAAGATGTTTTCCGCACGTATTTTAATTGGCAATTGTAATGTGGTTCTTTTTTACAGCCTGCCAGACTGGCAGACTCGGGACAAGCTGAATTTGTGTGAAATTTGCAGTGCATAATAACAACCATCGTAAAGGGGAAGGGTGCCATTATGTGTCTCCCTTATTGGAAAACATTATAGAATTACGGATTTGTAGAGCAAATCTTATCAATCGGTACAATATGATTGATTTTTAAGCTTGAGAAATGCAGTGATCGTTATTCATTTCCCTTAGCTATTGTTGCTCAGTCATTTAATCTTTTCTGTGATTTTATTGCTATGGAATGTATTGTTTTGATGCCGTTTAGTGGTTCAAGTGCTTTGAACCATTCCTGATTGATGAGAGTTGAGCAATGAAATTATTGATACTATCACTCTTACCTTTACTACTTATATTTATCAATATTATCATCATTATCAATACATTTATTTTTATTGTTATTACTACTACTATCACTATTAAGGATAACTTCTATTGTTTTTAGTATTATTACTGTTACTGATTATATCATTATTATCATTATTAACCCATTCGCAATGGGCATGTCACGTGTCCGTGCCATGCCCACTGTGAGTTTACTTGTTTATTTGTTTTTACACATAGATGGCTACACTTGTACTAAATCACCAGTGAGCCAATTACGAGTACTGCTGTCATGCCCATTTACCCTTTACTTTAATTTACGAAAATATTTTATGTTATCTTATTTTGCTATTACTAATGTTTATAACATTATAGGAATTTTGATGTTTAAAATAAAAAAATAACACCATCGATATTCATAGCACTAGTAAAAAACACATTTTCCCGCCAAGTCAAGGAAAGGTGAAATCAGGTAAAGCATAGCCATCTCTGTGTAGAGACATTTCACAAAAAATATAAAAAATGAGCACAGCATTTTTTCCTATTTTTCATTCTTTTTCCCCATCTCGAATGGGTTAAACCTTCCTCAAATGTTGCCCAAACATTATTTTATCAACGGATTGTACTTACAAATAATATTTTAATGAAATGGAAAAAAAAGTTGCACTATTGACAGTAGTTCAGTGGAAAGGCAGCTTTGTGGTCCACAAATTTTCAACCTGTTTATTAAGAGCTTGTGAACCTTAACCTTAACCCTATGCCACCGGGGAAAATTAATTTAAAAAATGGGGAAAATGCTGTGCTCATTATCTATATTTTTGTAAAATGTCTCTGCACATAGATGGTTCTGCTAGTGCTTGGCCAATTAGTCGACCTTGTGACCTTACCTGATATCCCCTTTCCTGGAAATGGCAGGAAAAACGTATTTTTTACTATTGCTATGGATATCAATGGTGTTATTTTTGTTATGAACATTAAAATTACTATAATGTTATAAACATTAGTAACAACAAAATAAGATAAGGTAAAATGTTTTCGTAAATCAAAGAAAAGGGTAAACGGGCAAGACAGACAGTTATTCCCAGTGGGCATGACACGTACGTACACACCATGCCCAACGGCACTGGACTAATGATGGTTTATGTCAAACTTGGAAAAGTTCAAGATGTATACTTGCTATGGAATGTAAGGTGGAATCTATTTACCATTGTCTGAGTGCCAAACTTATCAGAGGCCGTAGCGGTCGGATCTGTTGTAATTGTTTACAATAGACAATGAACTATAATAATTAATTATTTCTTTTAAGACTTATTTGCTTATTATTTAGAGATGTTTATTTTGCGCAGTTAAGGCAATTAACTAATTCTCTAATTGAATTGTACGAACCTTATATCATCGAAAAAAAATTGTGTGTGTCATCGATGTGGTAGTATTTCTAGCTGTAATATATATAAATATATAACTATATATATATATATGAAAATACATATATAGATATATATTAATATATATATTTATATATATATAACTATATAAAAACATATAAATATATATAAATATATATGAATATATCTATCTATCTATCTATATATATATATGAATATATATCTATATATATACATAAATGTATATATATAAATATTTATAAATATATATATAAATATATATATATATATATATATATATATATATATTTATAAATATATATATATATATATATATATATATATATATATATATATATATATATGTATATATATGTGTGTGTGTATATAACTATATTAATAAATGTATGTATATTAGCATATATATATATATATATATATATATATATATATATATATATATATATATATGTATATATATGTGTGTATATAACTATATTAATAAAAATATGTATATTAGCATATATATATATATATATATATATATATATATATATATATATATATATGTATATATGTATAAATATATGTGCATATGTATATATGTATGTATATATCTATATGTATATAAATATATCTATGTAGATATATCTACATCTATATAAATATATATATGAATATATCTACATATATATAAATAGTACATCTATACACACACACACACACATATATATATATATATATATATATATATATATATATATATATATGTACATGTAAATATAAAAGAATTGAGAATTAAGAACTCTGGCTGTATTTTCATGATGAAATATTGCATCTTTTTTATTACACGATTTTTTTTTATTATTATTTACTACAAGTGTTGCCATCTATGTGTAAAAACAAGTAACTCACAATGGGCATAGCACGTACATACATGTGATACCCATCGACATTGGGTTAATGTTCTTGTAAGACCAAATGGAGAAAAGGAGAGAATGTTTGAGAAAAGGCATAAGAAAGAAGTAATTAACAATAAATATGGGGAATAAAGAAATGTAGACAGAAGGGAGGAAAGCGAGAAGTTTGAATTTTTTTGACATATATATTTTTGTTGTTGTTGTTTTAAGTAAAGGGAAGAGGGGAAGACGACAATAAAAGAGAACAGGAAATAATGCCAATATATACACATATACACATATATGCCTTCACACCCTCTCCACACCGGTGAGCTCCTCGCAGCAGAGAGGCCGCACGTGCCTTCCTCGGGCGTCAACGCAAAGATTCTTCGCTCAAAGGAACTTTGCTCGACTGAACAAGAGGCGAAGGCAAGGTGAGGGAACTGACGCTGGGGAAGGGCTTGCCCACTAAATTTTGGGAGCTGCTCAGCCAATCACGGGGCCGCAAATACAAAGTCATAGTGAGGATATACTCTCTCTGATTGCCTAGAGATTCGGTAACGCTAGAGTACCATCTTTAAACCCTATTCAAAGTAACATAAAAAATGAACTTACTCAGTTTACCTGAAGAAAAACTCCATTGAAAATTAAATAAGCTTAACGCATAAAAGTTTTTTTTTTTTCGAAAGAACCACATATCAAAAATGTTATGTACAGCATAAATCAGTAAAAGTGCTTCTAAAAACTTGGGACAATTACTCACCAATGGTATCAAGAAGTTTGTTCCCTTTAGATGAAATATAACGCTATTTGATACCATCACGTGTTTCCCACGAGATGTCTTCTCTAGGTTAAAATTCTATTATATGTTGCACAAGGGGATCATATATCTTCTCCTTTGTATGTAGTTTCGAAATACCTCAAAAGATGTTGATACTATGGTAGAAAACCCCACAATATAAAAACATTATAGATTTTATAGATTTTATAGCTTTTGCATATCACACAACAGTATGGCTTCTCCTTTGTATGTAATATTAGTTTCATGTGAGGCCTCATTGCAAATATTACTGGAGCATGGTTACTTCATCCCGTGATTATGGTTATGTGAGAATGCCTTTTAGGAAATATCGTACCTATTTGGCTTCTCCTTTCTATGTATTCTGATATGCTTTACTAGAACGTGGAGGCCTCATAACAAATATTACAACTGTATTTCTTTTCCTTTGTATGTACTCTCATATGGCATACGAGATGATATTTATGTGAGAAAGCCTTATTACAGATATCACAGTTGCATGGCTGCCCCTCTGCATGCACTCTCATGTGGCTCACTTAGATTTCTGGGAGAATGTCCTGTTGCAAGGATTACAGCTGTATGGCTTCTCACTTGTATGTACTCTGATGTCTTAGTAATATCCTTTTAAGAAAAAACGCCTTATTGCAAATATTACATCCATATGGCATTTATTTTTTTTAATTAACTCTCATGTGTATCACTAGATTGCTTCTCTGTGAGCTCTTTTAGCAAATGTCTTAGCTGAATGATTTCTCCTTTGAATGTACTAATGTACTCTCGTATGACAGCTATATGGCTTCTCTTTTGTATGTACTCTGATATGCCATACTGAGAGATTCTTCAGAGAGGATACCTTATGGCAAATATTACATCTATATAACATTTCCTTTGTATGACTTTTCATATTTACCACTGTATTACTTTTCTATGGGATGCCCTTATAGGGATTGCTGTATGACTTTTCCTTTGTGCTGACTCATATGACTTTACCACATCTGCTTTTTATGTAATCTCCTGTGTATTACTAAATTCCTTTTGAATGTGAAGGCATTACTGCGAATTTTTCATCTGAATAGCTTCGGTTTTGTTTGTACTCTCAAGTCTTCCACTAGGGGACAATTCCTTGAGTTTTTTTTTCTGAAATCTCACACCTGTATGACTTGTACATTCTAAGTACTCTTATGTGTATTGCAATATCACTTTTTGACGAAAGCTGTATAAATCCTCCTATACATGCACTCCCATGTACTGCTATAGGTCTTATTTTTCCTGAGAAGGCCTTTCTTAAAATCACACAGCTTTATGGCTTCTCCTTTCGCATGGACTCTCGTATGTGTAACTAGAATATTTCTTCGTAGAGAAGCCTTGTTGAAAATTTCCTAGTTGCATGGCTTCTTTGTATGTACTCTCATGTGCCTTGCTAGATGGCCTTTCACAGAGAAGGCCTTACTGCAAATCTCACAGTTGAATGGCTTCTCCTTTGTATGTACTCTTATGTGCTTTACTAAATTACCTTTCTGAGAGAAGGCTTTGCTGCAAATTTCACAACTGAACGGCTTCTCCTTTGTATGTACTCTCATGTGCCTTACTAGAGTATCTTTCATAGAAAAGGCCTTGCTGCAAATCTCACACCTGAATGGTTTCTCCTTTGTATGTACTCGCATGTGCCCTACTAGAGTATCTTTCACAGAAAAAGCCTTGCTACAAATCTCACAGTTGAATGGCTTCTCCTTTGTATGTATTCTCATGTGATTTACCTTAGTACCTTTCAAAGAGAAGGCTTTGCTGCAAATCTCGCAACTGAACGGCTTCTCCTTTGTATGTACTCTCATGTGCCTTACTAGAGTATCTTTCACAGAGAAGGCCTTGCTGCAAATCTCACAGCTGAACGGCTTCTCCTTTGTATGTACTCGCATGTGCCTTGCTAGATGGCCTTTCACAGAGAAGACCTTGCTGCAAATCTCACAGCTGAAAGGCTTCTCTTTTGTGTGAACTCTCATATGAATGTTGATATATCTCTTCTGAGGAAATTTCTTGCCAAAACTTGTCTTTTTGTCTTCTACTTTTGGTTGTGTATCCTGCTTAAGACTTTCCTTATGCATCACCTGATCCCCATCTGATGAACTATTGTTAAGACAATTCCCAACCACAAATGGCGCTTTTAACAACATGCCATTGCGATCCTCAATCACATCACACTTGTTCTTTGCATTTGATTCATGTCTTAGTTCATCGGGATTATGAAAAAAGAGACATTTATGTTTCACTTTCTCGTCGTTCATCTCATCTCTCTCATTATCTGCATAATCAAGCGGTTCTTCTTTAATTTCAATACAAGTATCCTCGGAAATATCTTCGCTGAGCTCTTCTTTGATATTGACTCCTGTGCCATAAATTTCCTCGTCCGTGAGTGGGGCCGAAGGCATCCAGTCGGCGAGGATACTCATCGTCACCCTGGGAATGGAACGTATGCCAGATAATGAACTATGTAATAATGTTGATAAAAGATATGATCAATAACGATTTTATATTGCTTATTGCAAAAATAACCATAATTACAAAAAAAAGACAATTCATTTCATAACGTATTCCTACATGATTACTTACAGCAAAGAAGTAATGAATATATATGATATACATATATGTATGCAAAACCAAGCCTCTTTTATCTGTCTACTTATCTGTGTATGAAATTGTAAAATATCAAATGTAATAACACTGATTCCAA